GATAACCATTAAGAAATGCAGACTTGACATTGAGCTGGTAGATTCTCTATTTTTTCTGAGCTGCAAGTGCAATTAGAGCTCTTATGGTGTCTAGCCGAGAAACTGGAGCGAAGGTCTCGTTGTAGTCGATCCCGAGCAATTGCGAGTACCCTTTTAGCGACCAGCCATGCTTTATGTTTTTGGATTGAGCCATCTAGGTTAAGCTTCATCTTATAGACCCACTTAACTCTAATGACTTCCTTGTTGTTTAGTGGATCGATCAACTCCCAAGTTTTATTCTTCTCGATCATCCTGATTTCTTCTCCATGGCTTTTACCCATTCTTTTTCCTTTACTGCTGTTTCAAAGCTTTCAGGTTCCATCGTGGCAAAATTGCATGTCTCGTAGATCTCCCTGAGTGTTCGTACTTTTTTCGGTGGTGATTCTGGGGATGACTGTTCTTCAGTTGATGGTGTTGTTGTCCTCGGACTTGAAGGTTGTGGAGCTGGAGGTGATTGTGAACCTTCTGCTTCATGTTCTTCTGGTATGATATTTTGCCTCCGTCGTGTAGGTATCATGATATTTTGGTATTCAACTTTTTCTTTCTCCCAGTTCCATGCAGCATTTTCATCGAACTCTACATCTCGACTGATAATTAGTTTACCAGTCTTGAGGCTGTAAATTTTGTATCCTTTAGATTGAAACGCATAGCCGAGGAATATGCCTTTCTCGGATTTCTCCTCTAATTTGTGTCTCTTTTCCTTTGGGATGTGCACGTAACAGATACTCCCAAACACTCGTAGATGTTGGGCTGACGGTTTTCGTCCACTCCAAGCTTCTATTGGAGTTTTATTTTGGACAGCTTCAGTAGGACACCTGTTGAGTAGATAGACTGCAGCGTATACAGCTTCTGCCCAAAATTCTTTAGGCATGTTCTTCTCTGCGAGCATTGTCCTGGCCATCTCTTGTACAGTTCTGTTTTTCCTTTCTGACACACCATTTTGCTCTGGAGCATAGCCGACAGTTAGTTGATGGTTGACTCTTTCATCCTCGCAGAATTTGTTAAACTCCTTGGATGTGTATTCTGTTCCTCGATCACTCTGAAGTACTTTAATTCTTCTTCCACTTTGATTTCCGACGATGCTTTTGAATTTCTGGAAGATGGAGAAGACTTCGGACCTTTCTTTATACACCCAAGTCATTCTTGTATAATCATCAATAAAGAGGATGAAGTACCTGCTCTTCTCGAAGGTTGGCGTTCTCATTGGACTGCACACGTCTGTATGCACCAGCTCCAGTATTTGATTGGCTCTTCCTGCTTGGTTTGAAGGAAATGGTTTCCTATGTTGTTTGCCCTTCATGCACTTTTCGCAGAGATTGTCGTTGATTTGGATGGCTGGTAGAATTTTCATCATATTCTTCTGATGAAGTAACTTTAGCCCGTTGAAATTGAAATGCCCGAACCTTCTATGCCATAGCCAGGATTGATCTTCTTCGGCTTTTAGTGCTGCTTCTATGAATTTCCAACGGAGCGGAAAGTTTCTCCGTTGTTGCATTTTTACTACAGCTATGAGATTGTTTTTGTTGTCATAAATGGTGCAAGAGTTGTCTTTGAAGAGTAGTGTGTATCCTCTTTCCACCATTTGTCCCACGCTGAGTAAATTAGTATCAAGTTTTGGTACTAGCAGCACATCTTCAACGAGGCGAGTACCTTTTTTAGTCTCGACCTCAATTGAACCTTTGCCTTCAACTTCTACTAAATCTCCATTGCCTAACCGAAATTCTGATTTTACAGATCTATCAATTTTATAAATTTCTTCTCATCTTCGGTCATATGGTTGCTACAGCCACTATCTAGGAACCAAATATCATTTTTCTCTTTTGAAGTTGCATGTGTTGCATAGAATAGCAAATTTTCTCCCTTTTCATTCTTCAGAGAAATTTGCTTGATATCTTTTAGTGCGGCAATTTTTCTCCATATGACCGAATTTACCACAATTTTTACATTGTGGTTTATCTCGGTACTAACAATCCTTCTCAAGATGGTTGGTTTTCTTACAAACTCCACAAGGTGTATATTTTCCTTTTTTATGATTATTATTATTTCCACCTTGATTTTTATTTTTATAATTTTCTCCAAATCTTCTCCCCCCAATTTTAGAATTCTGAGACCGTAAATTTAGTTTTGACTGAAATGCATTTTCGACTGTATCATTTTCTCGCATACTCAGTCTTTTTTCATAGGCTTCAAGTGAACCTATTAATTCTGTCACTGACAAATGATCCAAATCTTTAGTTTCTTCGGTCGTCGTGACGATAGGATCGTATTTAGCTGGTAGAGTAATTAGAATTTTTTCTACCACCCTTTTGTCAGTAATATTTTCTCCATATGCTTTTAATTGATTTACTACTTCTCTTAATCGAGTATAGTAATCTTTTACGGTCTCATATTCTTTCATCTTCATATTTTCCAAATCTCTTCTCAGAGTTTGTAATTTCAGATGACGTACCTTGTCACTATCCTGGTATTCTTCCTTTAGAGTATCACACGCCTCCTTTGATGTATGCGCTCCGCTAATTCTCAGAAACAGGGACTCCGACATGATCATTTGTAGTGTGAAAAGGGCCAAACTATCTTTTTCCTTCTCCCGGTCGAATTTTTCTTCGTCCGCCGTAGACAAAGTGGAAATGTCATCGGTTATAGTATACCCGTTCTCGACAATATTCCATAGGCCTTGAGACATAAAATATGTTCTCATTTTAATGGCCCAATAATTATAATTTTCGTCGGAAAAAATAGGAATTGCTATTTGATGGGTGTTTTGGAAAGTGGCCATAATAAAGATTTAAAAGGATATTTGAAAATGGAGAATTTGGAGGATATGTGAAAATAGGAGGATATTGAAAAATATTTTCGCCCAGCTATTGATCCAACCGGGCTCTGATACCACTGTTGGTATCAAAAATAATTTGTGATTATAATTGAATAAAATAATAGTAAAGATTTTTTTTATTTATATATATATATGAATATATATATGTGTAGAAATAAAGTGAAAGACTTGTTTTCTTAAGATCAATTGCACTTCTTCTTCTTGCATTTCTTTCTTCCGAACACATGAATATATATAGCATACAATGGAAATCTCTAGACTCCAATCATTAGAATTGCCAACTAATACAAGCATCTTTCAATTAATTAACAATAAATTAATCATTAATCATTAATCCAACTAAGCATTAATTATTTTAACAGTTTCCAAAAAGAAAATAATGCCTTGGTTATAAGAAATTCAAAAATCAAGAAAGGTACCAAATTTCCTTCAGACGTGGTCCGAGCTAGCTAATGCAAAGGGGCGAATTTTGTTTATCAATGGGCCGATTTTCATGGAGTATATGGGCGTGCGCGTGGGTCAATAAGTGGCCGAAATTATAAGGGAAAATGGCAAATATTTAGGCTTCGAGAAATTACGAGAATGGATCAAAGTTACCGGATTAAATCAAAAATCCGAACGGCGATCGGTAAATAAAATTGAACGGGTATATGTAAATATATTATATTACTCAACCAATAATATAATATAACAACTTAATCGAGACATAAAAATAATAATGTCGATTATTTAAATATCTGAAAAATCCAATATTCAATTGGATTAAATTCGGTTTACGCGATTAAACCGAAATCGCTGAACGACGAATGTTATAAAAATAAACGATCAAGTACTTAAATATATAATTTAAGTACCAAATACAGGCGACCTCACAACCACTAATAATAGACATAAATCAACATATAAAATCCGATAAATAGAATAATATTGAAAAATTCTATAAATCGAATGGGGTGCTACATCAAACAACTCCTCCACTCTCGGTTCTAAAAGTTGTTTAAATAGATTAGAAGTAAATTTTCACCTCATACGAGCTTAGGTTCGACACCCATCCCCTATCGGTTCTAAAAGTCGTTTACCTAGCAGATGAACAATCAATGAATCCTAATATTCAAGCAACTCGCACAAATTGAACGATCAGGTAGTACGATGATCACAAACGACTCATAATAATTATCCCTAACTCCCTAGCTTCCTTTTCATCATTTGAAACTTGCTTGGAATTTGGAATTTGCGCTTTTGCTTTGTTCTTGGAACCATAGCAGATAATCAAAACGAAACCATATGAATTAGAGTGTTAGGTTTTAATTTTTCTTTTTGTGCTTCAATATTCGTACAAAATAATCTGGTTAGCCTTCCTTGAGATTTGACCTGGGGATTGAATCTTTGGGGTTGTCTACGGTAAAAAGAAAAACAACAAAATGTAATTTTTTTAGTTATAAGTATTCGATATTAACACTATTTCGCTTCTACCTTGTTGCCCAAGGCTGCCTGGATACGCTGTCCAACTGCACGAGCTACTCGTTCATACTACTCGAGCTGCGCGAAGTGCCGAATTTTGTAAGGCCACATGGTCTAATGCACGTGTAATTTTTATCCTAATTATATTCATTCTTATCCATTAATATGTCTTATTAGACGGTCTTATCGTGCGACATCTGATGTGCCTCGAGGTAGAGTGTCTTTTGTGCTAAGCTCGTACACAATGTTTTCTTGGTCGATCCTCCGACCTGCGTGCCACTAGGTCGAGTTTTTACTAAGTCATCCGAGAACCCTAGCTCGACCTATCAACGATACCCCTTCATGCCATGTCTCGGTCGATTTCATGACTCCATCAATCTCTGATCAACCTTTCCAGTTCACCTTGTTCGGTTGACTGGTTTCTCGGTCGAGTCAACCCTATATGGTTTCCCATATCACGCTCCAAGTCAAAAACAAGCTACAAACCTAAGCCTCTTGTATTTTTTTGTTGACCACATGCTTTCACTTGCAGAATATAAAAGTTCTCGTCGTTATTGTTAATTGTTGAAATATCTTAAGTTCAAAATGAAACAAAAGTTTAAATTAATCTACACTTTAATCAAAATTGAATAACCTTATTGTGAAATCAAATTGAGTAAAATCTAAAATGAGCCTCTACCAACTACATGAATCTTATTCTATGGTAGCCCTACTTGTTTTCATGGTATTCAGCAAGCATTCAGTCTCAGGTATATTCGACACCGTCAGTTATTTACCCCCACACAATTGTACGTCCAAAAACACATCCAAATTCAACCACCACATCTCTCTTGCCTAAATCCACATTAAAATACACAAACCAAACCAATTTCCCAACAAAAACAAACATATGTAAGAGGTTAAAAATAAATAAACAAACCAAAATAATTGTCCTTAAGTCCACCCAAAAAAATAAAATAAAATAAATAAATAAAGAAAGAAAACCACAAAAAGGAAAAAACAAATCCTACAAACAAGGTGAGCTACACAAGCCAGCAACAAACCCCGACAAACAACCCCCCTTTCATTCCCCACCCCACCACCCTCCCTATTTCTACCACGGCCCCTCCCCTCCCCTCCCTCCCCCTACCCTCATATTTTTCCTCAAAAACAACCCCCGGGGAAAAATAATAATTAAATAAATATATAACAGCACAAGTAGATACAAATATAAATAAATAATATTAATTTAA